GCAACTAGAATGTAAACCCCTCAAGTACTGCAGGCTCTATTTCCTGCCTAAATCACCTTGTTCAACATCAGATTAGCTGAGTGCTTATGCAATAAATCTCTCCAAGTAACCAGATGAGGCACCAGGTGACAACTGCCACGAAGAGGAGATATTTAAAGAGCAATGGGAGTGTTCAAGAAGCTTCCTATGCAATGTCCACTTTGACACTTCTTTGTTGGAGACAGGATTCGAGCTTCTGTCAGCATCACAGATATAAATAAGCTAGGCTGAGGCCAGAGGTTTGGACCTGAAACTGTCAGCTAACTAATCTTAAACAAAAGATATCTTAATGTCCATACTCTGTCTCCCTGGCTCTAGGAAAGTATGCAAAGATCTGTACTCATTTAGGGCAGAGTTTCTCCCCTTCAGTACTATTCCCGTTTGGGGCCTGATAATCCTTCGCTGTGGAGGGCTGTCCTGTGCAATGTAGGAAGTGTAGCTGCTAGAGTTAGCGAATTTAAACACAGCGTTCCCAGTTAAATTTGAATTTCAGATAACCAGCAAGTTTTTTTTAGTATATGTACATCCCACGCAATATTAATAGCATCTCTGGCCTCTATCCATCGGAGACCAGCGGCATTACCACCGTGCATCCCCAAGTTGTGACAACCTAAAATATTACCAGACATTGTTAAATGTCCCTTGGGGGCAAAGCTGTCCCTGCTTGAGAACCACTAATTCAGGGTAACACATCAGAAGGCTACAGATCTGAACGTCTCTATCTTAGCTCCCAGAAGTACTGTGTCTGGTAAAGTATCAGTGAATGAATTAGCCATGTGAGACATTCCTCAGCACGACTTACTGAAGTACTCATTTTGAAAACGTTACTTATTCTGCTTTTTAATGTCCCTTTGAGATCAGCTCCCTTTAGGTTTTCTTGTCAGATAGACTCTTGGCTCTCTTTCAGAATTAGCAGGCTCATTTTGATCAGATAATGTAAATTATGAAAACTACCATCTTTCCCTTTTTCCTTAACTGCTAGAAAGCTTAGAGGTAAATGTAATGCTTAGTTGCAGAAACCATCAAAGCTCATGTGGCTAAATATTTTCTTTTTTAAAACAAGCATCTGCATAGCGGCTCTTATATGCCACGTATATTTTAAATGCTCTACGAATACTACCTTCTTGAAATCATTCTTTCACTATAACAACCTTATGGATAAGTACTATTATTATCCTCTCTTTGCAGGTAATAAACTGAGGTCATTTCTTTTTCATATTTCTATGAATTATTTCCTCCTCATCATCATCCTTATTTTATAAGCCCCTTCAGATTCTGTTTAAAAGTCAATGGGGCAGAAGTTATTGTACCACACACCTCCAGCACCGCAGGTCCTCTCAGCCTCCCATCTCTTGTTCCAAATACCACCACGGCTACCAGTTCCAACTACTTGCAGGTACACTTCTCAGAGCCCAGCCTCGTGCCCAGGTCACACCCCTCTCATCTCTCATCCTGGGCCTCCCTGTTCACACTGAGATGTGGGACACAAGGGATCTTGCCCCAGAGCCCAGAACTGTACAACCCATAATTGCAGAGGAATAAACCCCTTGTGGTCAAGGTGTTGCCCAACAGGAGCCGGAAACTGGTAGATAAATTCATTCTCTGTTTTTTCACTCCAGAAAGACTGAGATGCAGCTTTTCAGAGGCTGCTTCTTTAAGACAGAGCAACCAGGAGCACTGGGTGGCGACCAGCTCAATTACGCCTGCTCCAATTTCTCTCCCTCCTTCCCTGCCTCACTCCTGTGTCTCTCAGGTCTCTGGCTTCTGCTCCTTGGCATTGTACCTCCTAACAAGCAGCAGCAACATGTCATTGTCTGGCTCTGCTTTCTAAGGAATCAGACTAAGACAAGTATACATAATTATAAACAAAATCACACTGAATGGACGTTTACCTAGTTATTTCCATTAACTTCAGTCACTAATATTTCTTGTGGTCCAGTTGGAATACAATCGTGGAACAACTATCCCTAGCAGGACTTTAAGGGCCTACGCCATCATCTTTACAGCTGAGGATACCAAGACCCAGAGAGGGAAGGGGATTGTTCAAGATCACATTCCCTGTTACTGGCGTGTGAATACAGTACAAACGTTTATTTAGTGCCCACGGTGTCAAATTTCCATATAAATGATTGTACTCTGTGCTCGAACATTCGGTAATTAGTATTATTGTCCTCACTGTATGCACAAGAAACAGAGGGCCAGAAAAAGTGAAATGAAATGTTTAAGGTCACAGCTTTAGCAAATGGAAGAATCAGGTTTACATCAAGCCTCCAAACTCCACATATCTAGTTCTTTCCCCAACTGTTTCCCAGAGGTAGGGATGTAGGCCCTGGCTGTCCTGGGAACTGGGTGGAAAACCATGATGGACCTTGCAGGAAAACAGGCTTTCAACTCAAGTCCTAGCCCTGCCACTTAATAGCTTTGTGACCTTAAGTTACTTCATTTTTCTGAGCCTTGATTTTTAATTCCGAAAATGGAGATCCTAACATCTACTCAGAGTGTGGCTATGAAGAGGAAATGAGATAACATATGTAAATCTCCCACCGCAGTGCCTGTACACAGTAAGTGCTTAATAAATGTTGGCCAGTATCAGTTCTGTGGAATCAAAGATGGCTCCCAAACACAATATTAGCTTCTCTTTTGTAAGTGCTTATTAAGTGTCACACATGGTGCTAAGCATTTCCTATAGAAGAAGGGATCACTTCTAACCATCCCAGCCTCAGAGAGGGAAGGAATCGATGAAGGGGAGTGTCTATTAGTCAGTCAAGTTTGCCGTCGTTGAACTTTGCCCTATCTGTGTAACAGTTTTAAAACAAATTTATAGCTTAGTTTTGTCCTAAGCAAGAACACTGTGAAGTATTAGGTTGGATGTGCTAGCTATATTTTTCTTATGCACATTAAAACATACATACTCTTCGTTATAATTTAAAAGTGTTATTATTTAACATACTCAAGAAAAAAATATGAGATAGAACAAGATTAGCAAAAGGTTGATCACTGTTGAAACTAGAGTACATGGGGCTACACCACTACCTCTCTAATTTTAGGTATCTGTGAAATTTTCATAATAAAATAGTTTTAAAAATAAAATAAAACACAATTATCAAACCTGGAGGTGGGGGAGGGGAATGTTCTTTCACAGAGATCTAAACTTGTCTCACATTCTCCAGAGAAGCAACTGTCACACCTTGGGAAACACTGGTCCATAATACCCGTGAGAAGGTCATGGCACAGGGACAGACACTCAGCCTTCTTTCTATCTCATAGGCTGCATCCTCTGTGCTTAGAACAACTGGTCACACAGATAAATGCCTGATTAAAGTTTGCTGAGTCAACGAATGAATGATTAGTACTATAAAAACCGGCATAATCTGAAGAGCCCCTGCTGTTTTTCTTTTACTGCTATGCCATTTGGATTCCATTACTGTGAAAAATACCTAGAAAGTTTCCATAAACTTCCACAGTCACATCTGGTTGGCACCGGATGCGTTTTGCTAAATGAGATCAAATGTATTGTCTGATATTACTTGGCTACTACTAGTTTATATGTATTTGGTCAAAGAACCTCTTACCAGATGCTATTAAGAGTAAGTTTTAAAACCCTTTGTCACTTACCAGCAGGCCAACACCGACTGTGTCTGCTCTAAGCTGCTCTGGGACACATCCTCTCCCACTCACACCTATAGCCAAGTGAACCCTACCACACTCCACAGATACTCCTCTGAAATATTCTGTGATCAGAGTCTGGTACCAAATTAGATATCTCAGTTAAAGGCTGAACACACTAGAAGGCTAAATCTATCTAGTAGGATAGAAAGGCCTTGGCAGGATCACTTTTTATATATATAATTAGTTATCCTAAAAGACAGTCATAGTGTGCTGTTTTATTATGCAAAGCAGTTAGTATTATGCAAAATACTGTTTCAAGTTATAACATGATTTTTTTTTCCTTTGCTGGAAGATATGAGCTAAATTTCTATTAAATATCCATATACCTTTTGAAACACCTTATGTATTCAGTGTAACTCTTTTGAATATAGCAACAATAAAAGAGATTATATGACTAACTTAAATATCTAAAATAGCAAAAACTATTTTTTCTTTAAGTCTGAGAAATTAGAGCAGCAGTTCTACTTTGCTACCATAAAATAAAAATACAGAAATTAGGTTTCCAATCCCAAAATCTTTTTTCTGGAAATAGCTTTCTCTCCTGCTCATAGAATGAGAACAAGCCATCACATCATTTTTATGGATTTTTTCAGAAATGAAGTGGCTCAGGAATGGTTAGAGGGACTTCCCTGGTGGAGCTGTGGTTAAGAATCTGCCTGCCAACGCAGGGGACACGGGTTGGAGCCCTGGTCCGGGAAGACCCCACATGCCACGGAGCAGCTAAGCCCATGTGGCACAACTAAGCCTGCACTCTAGAGCCCGCAAGCCACAACTACTGAGCCCACGGGCCACAATTTCTGAAGCCTGCGCGCCTAGAGCCCGTGCTCCGCAACAAGAGAAGCCACTGCAGTGAGAAGCCTGCACACCGCAATGAAGAGTAGCCCCCGCTCGCCGCAACTAGAGAAAAGCCCGCATGCAGCAACGAAGACCCAACGCAGCCAAAAATAAATAAATAAATATTTATTTATTTATTTTTAAAAAATGGTTAGAGAAGGAAGCGGATGCAAGGTTGGTGGCTCAGCAGCCTCTAATTAGAGTAGCGCCATATGATGCACAGTCTGATACTGTATTAAGCCAGTGCACTTGGACCACCTGAGACAAAGCTGAGGATCTGTTTCACATCTTGCTGAGTAAACCAAACCCCAAGTATTTTTCCAGGGAAGTGATTAGAAGGTAACTGTCACTTTAAAAATTCTACATGGAAATAAACTGCAAATGGTCCATAAACAAATGAAAAGATGCTCAATCTCACTTATGTTGAAGAAATTAAAATTAAAATAGTACTTTCTCACCTCTTTGTTGGTCTACTGACATAGCCTTCTAACTGCTCTCCTTCTTGAAGATGGAGCAATCATCTAAAAACAAAAATCAAGTCATGTCCTTCCACTGCTTGAAACCCAGCTTTCCAGTTCACTTAATAGTTATATTTAAACATAAATTACATCTTTCTTTAACCTAAATTGTATCATTCTGCAACTTTTTGCATTTACAGTGTCTTAGAAATCTTTTCATGTTAACACATAGAGATATGTCTTTTTAGCTGCTGCATTAATATTCCATAGTATGGCTAAGGTTCACTTAGCTATTCTCTAATTAATGAACAGTTAAATTGTTAATAGTTTTTTGCTGTTATAAATAAGGCTGAAATGAACATCCTATACCCTTCTTGTCACTTGAGAGTGTTTTTCCAAGGAAGATACTGAGAAGGAATTTTTTTTTAAAATGCCCACTGCCAAGTTGCCTTCCAAACAAGCTGTGGGGGCACCCCACCAGCAGGAGTGTGAGAGACCTACTTACACCTTTGCCAACATTTGCTTCTAGATGTTCTGAACTGTTCCGCTGTCTAGTTCCGTGACTTGTATCATTCTTTAATTCCAGAAATTCTTGTCTTTAATAATCTCTTTAAGTACTGTATCCCTCCCTCCTCTCCTTTTCCTCCTGTGAAAGGTGGAACTTTTGAATCTACACTTTGTTTCTTCATTTTCCTTTCATACCTCCCATCTCTTCCGCCCTTCACACTGCATTGTGGGAGAATTCCTTGACTCAGTCTTACAACTCACGCATACGCTCTTCTTCCGTAGCGTCCGTCCGTTTCCAAGTGGGTTACGCCCTCTCGCTCTCTGCGCTTCTTCGTGGCTCCACCCCCGACGTCAGGCCGCCGCGACTGGGAGCGAGCGCGCAGGCGCAGCTGGCTTCCAACCAGTAGCCCAATCGTTGGCTTGGCCCTGGCCTCACTCAGCAGCCATGGGAGCGTCAAGGCAGTTCCAGCGCGCTCCATGATCATGGGCACCCCGGGCTCCAGCAAGAGCACCGTGGCGCTGCGCATCATCAAACACTTCCAGCTGAAGAAGTTCTCCAGTGGGGACGTGCTCTGAGACAACATGCTGAGGGACACAGAAATTGGTGTGCTGGCCAACATTTTCATGTCCCAGGGGAAGTTCATCCCAGACGACCTCATGACTCGGCTGATCCTCCAGGAGCTGAAAAATTTCACCCAGTATAACTGGCTGTTGTGTGGTTTCCCCAAGACACTCACACAGGCTGAAGCCCTGGATAGAGTTGATCCGGTACACCTGGTGATGAACCTGAACGTGCCCTTTGCGATCATCCGGCAACGCCTCACGGCTCGCTGGATTCATCCAGCCAGTGGCCGCGGCTACAACCTCGAATTTAACCCTCCCAAAGCAGTCGACGTGGATGATGTGACTGGAGAGCCTCTCATTCAGCGTGTGGATGATAAACCAGAAACACTTATCAAGAGAATGAAGGTTTACTAAGACCAAACAAAACTGGTCCTGGAATATTACGAGAAAAAGGGAGTGTTGGAAACATTTTCTGGAACAGAAACCAATCAGATCTGGGCCTGTATACATGGTTTCCTGCAAACAAAAGTCCCACAGAGACCCCAAAAAACTCAATTACCCCACGAGGAAAAATCCTTGTGATTAGCAAGATGAGCAGAACTCTTCCTTTCTTCACATGGAGTTCCTTGTTCTAAGATCCCACCATGAATGAATTCTTTGAAAATTTTATTAGTTTCACTTCTGTGGATTTTATTCGGGATACTAAGGATATGCCAAATGAGTCTGATAGTAAGATTTGTCTTTTGGGGACTTCCCTGGTGGCGCAGTGGTTAAGAATCCGCCTGCCAATGCAGGGGACACGGGTTCGAGCCCTGGTCCAGGAAGATCCCACATGCCACGGAGTAACTAAGCCCATGCGCCACAACTACTGAGCCCAAGTGCCACAATGACTGAAGCCCACAGGCCTAGAGCCTGTGCTCCGCAACAAGAGAAGGCACTGCAAGAAGAAGCCTACACGCCTCAACAAAGAGTAGCCCCTGCCTTTGCAACTAGAGAAAGCCTGCACGCAGCAACGAAGACCCAACACAGCCAAAAATAATTAATTTAAAAAAAGATTTTTTTTGAAATTGTCTAGTGTGTTTTATCCAGCTGTCTTCTGTGAGTGTGCAATTCAGAAACATTAAAAATGTCTAAACTTTAAAAAATTCTTATAGACCAAAAGTACAAGAGCAACTGGTAGTAATCTAACTTGTGTTCAGTAAGAATAAGTGATTGGTAAGGTTTCATATTTTTCTGGAAAAGTAAAAAATTAACATTATACTAATTTGCAGAAAGTATTTCATCAGAAGCTTTTGTGTAGCCAGATACCAAAAAAGACATTTCTAGCACAGGGGATGTGGTTTTGTGAGATGCTACCTCTATAAAATTCCAGATAAAAATAACTGGATTTACCAATCCACTGCAGAATGCGAGTTTACTGATGTCTTTAAGAAACCTATAAGGAGGCCGTATGAGCTATATTACTTTTGTTGTTAAACATACCTTCAGTTTACTCAGAATTTTCAATTTGCTATAAAAAAAATTTAGGAAGGTATTACTTCGATATGATTTTTTTTCTTTTGAAAATACGTGTTCACTGAGGGATATAACATGTTAGAAACTGACATTGTAAGTTCTTGTACAAGCACCAAAATTGAATGCATTTTCTTTAATGGAAAATGTAATTGACGTCTTATGTTTTCAGATGTTACTGAAAACAGTGGTTAACACTGTGCGCTTCCCCTGCTGGGAGCATTGGTTCAATCCCTGGTTGGGGAACTAAGATCCCACATCCCACATCCCATGCAGCCAAAAAAAAAGTGTTTTAGGATCTACTTGACAGTTCTCTTTTTGATCTCTATGCCTTGGTGAGTAACAAAGTATTTTAAAAAGAAGAATGAATAGAAGAAAACTTGTGATACTGCATAAAATAAAATACTGTATCATTAGGAAATAGAAATAGACCAAGCATGCCTGGTGGGAAATTTCCTTGACAGAAATAACCATAATTAGAAAACAGATGTGGCAATAGAAAGGCTTTATATGACAGGACCAGGAAAGTAATTGAATTTGCTGAAGGTAGAGTTCTTTATTCCTGATCAAAGAAGTTGATACCCGCTGGCGTTCGCTGACATCCTATCTTAAGGGGAAAAAATCTTGCCAGTGTGTGTAATCTGAGAATGAGTGCTTATGTACTGTGCCCTGGAGTAGTGGGGCAGTATGAGAAATGGAGGAGAAACCAGACTATATCTTAAATGGTATATTTATTTTTATTTTAGTTGGTGCTAAATCAAATGAAACAAGTCCTTGTACAAGCTATTACTAACTGCCTTTGAAAAATTCAGCCCATCTTACTCCAGGCACTTCAAATACAAATACCAGCAAGTGTTTCTTACGTATTTGAGGGGAAAACTTATTTTTCTTTCTTTTGATTTTATTTTTCATTCATTGTCAATTTTTCAATATGGACCAAGCCTTTTAAAAAGAATTACAGAAAACATTTCATTCTTTAAAATACTTTCTATAATGTCTTATTTGAATATTGTTATACGCTTTCCAAAAAGTAAACTACTAAACTTACGAACTATCACTAGTCACTAGGTTATAAGACATCATCAGTCTTTAATAAAATTAAATTTCAGGAAAAATATCAGTTTCATCTGCTTATTCAGTTTTTTATTATAAGGACCAAATTTTAATTTCCATGACCTCCAGTTGATTTATTTGCGACTGCTCTATCCTCACACATCTATCAGAAAAATCGACTTATGCTTATTCTTAATTCCTGCTTTGCTTGCTCTATCATTTATCTTGCTTGGGTGTTGTTAGTTCATCCATCTTGTTGAGTTTGTAATCTTTTGTAGCGTTGGTCGTCTTCATATGTGTGGTGATCTTGTCTCTGTAATCTATATGGTTGAGATTCTCCATTAAATTGCATTGTCTGTCAATGAGGAGTCATCTTCTTGGGGAGATTGCTGTTCTAAATTGTCCTCTGGCCTTTTCTCAGGGACAGTGAAGAAGGAAAAGCCACCGGGTAAGATTTCTCTGGGGTGTTCAGGTCTGGTGCCCAATTCCCCTCCTCATGACAAAGAGCCATATCCAGCTAATCTGGGCTCCCTGGCCATGACTCCTACCTGGAGGCTGACACTTTGTCACTGCCATTTGGCTCAAAAGCAGATGGAAAGGCATCAGTAGAGGATGAACTGATGGCCCCTCCTGCAGCAGTGCCCCAAGGACCGAAGTGTTGATTGTCCTTGTTACCCTCCTGCTTCGGGTGTCTGCCACCTTGCGGATGGAGTCTTGGTGCTCCTTCACCTTTTTGGCACTAGTCTTCTGTACACATTTTAGATTGAGCTCTGCGTTTTTGCATCAATCCAGTGTACATCCCATACTTTAGGATTTATCCTGGTTTCTGGTTCACTGAAAGTTTCACTTCTTACTTAGGATCATCAGTTAAGGCCCTTGCTGCAGGGATGAAGATGCTGGACGATATACTTAGTCCACCACCCTGAAATGGAACCACATTTCCTTGTCCGCCCTCAAAATTCATAAGTCGTCAGGCCTAGAGCTATGGCTTTCAACTCTGGTTGCACATTAGAATCAGCTGGGAGCTTTAAGCCAGAACATGGACACCCTGGATATTTTTATTTGGTTATCATGGGTAGAGGCCATGGTTATTGCTATGTTTGCTGTATTTTCAAAGCTCCCTGGCTTTTGTAAACCACTACCTTCAAGCAGCAGAGCTGACTTCCTCTGAGAGGGCAAGCCTTCTAAACAGTTTTCTACAGAGACTCAGAACCACCTGGCAGTCTCGCCGGCTGGAACATTCATCACAAAAGGCTCTGCCCTCCTTGTCGTACTTTTTTCTCCCACACATGGAAATATTGAAGCAATGGATATTTTATCATTAGTCATCACCATGGATAACTAACACTTTTCATTTTAGCTGTTGTTTATCAAGTGCCACATCAAATGTCACTCTAGTTACTGATTTTTGAAAGCTTGCTTACGTA